TTAGACACTAGAAGCTCTTGCTCCAGACAGAGCACAGCTGAGGGCAGGCACAGCACTGAGATGCATGCACAGAACTTCAAAGGGACCATGCGCTGTGTTTGCTTTTAGCTGGTTCAACAGGGACTCAATCTTAAATGCTTTCATGGTGAAAGTTGGGGGCACTTAGTGTCCAGGAAGGTCAGGCACACAACCTTTTAATTGGTTTTTTTTCATGAGCAGAAACTCCTTCCCAGAATTATGACTAAATTGCTGACTAACATTTTTCTTTTCAACATGCTGTATAACTTGTCTCTCCCATACAGCCCTAGGAAAATAATTTGCTCCCATTAATTCAACTTTTAAAGATGCTAAATTTTCCTGTTGTTCAGTGTGTAACTATGATGCTATCATGCTATATGAAGTTACAGTATCCATAAGCAGAGTCAAGAGGGGATTAATTATAGCACTACCATCTTTATATATCACAAAAACAGAAAGAAGGGGAAAATAATTTTTAGAGACTGTTCTTTTGGGCAAACAAGATTAGCATTTCTTGCAGAGATAACCATACAGGATTTGGTCTGATTAAATATCTGCCTACAGACAAATCACAAATGCAGAACTTTATTCACTTCACACTCATTTCACAGAATTGCAGAGCGGGAGCAGCTCTGATCTTCAGGGTATTGGGGCACATCCCCACCAGAACATTATAACCCCAATAAAATCTTTCCTACTCTTATTTCCCTCATGTACGAAGTGCGGGTGGTACAGATACTAGCCCTAGGGCACCCTAAAACTGGAAGTACAGACCAGAACTGGGACTACACAGCACCTGCACAACAGCCCTCAGTGGCGATTCCACTGGTGTGCCCAAAGTTGCAGTGGTGGTCATGTGGCACCTCAGGCTAAACGTGAAAAGTGACATTTGGGCGAAAACCAGAACGTCCTGACTCCCCACCTGCCCTGGTGAGGTAAGCAGAGAGAATTTCTAGTTTCTTTTTATAATGAAGTCGAACACAATGGAGTTGGGCTTTTTTTTTTTTAGATTCTCACCAGCTAGAAAGCATCAAAGCAGTGTTTCTGAGATTTCAATTTTTCATCTTGATAGCACATATTTTGATACTATAAATATTTCTGTGGGATTGGGAGAAAAGCTCAAGCCTTTACCTCTAAGCCTCTTCACTGTTTGGTCTCTCCTTGGCTCTTAAATCTAATACTCTGTCACAGCAGAAAACTTTTTTCCCTCACTAAAGATAACAGATTCTGTCGCTTCTCCTGCAGACACTTTTATGCTTTCTCACAGCCTGCCCTCTAAATCATGGTAAAAATCTCCCCACAAGGTACCATCTTGTCTTCCATCAAATCTTCTAAGCTTTACCTCTACCACCAATCCTAGGAAGCGCTGCTGCCTGGCAGAGCCAGGGGAGGAAGCTGGCTGTGACTGCTGATGGTATGCAAATGTGCTCGTCATACCAACATCTCGCTGCCTCACACCTCTCCCTGAGTCCCCCCCCTTGTCACCCCGCCTTAACCCCGGGTTGTGATAGCTCGAGGGCAGGGGCTGTGTTTGCACTCGTTGGCACAGCACCACAAGGCTGGAGTGTTGATTGAGGCCTTCAGGCAGATGTGATGAATAATAATGTCAAACCTACCTAAAGCGGATGGCATTGTCCCCCACTCTGATATATGAGCTATTCACAGAGCAAGCCTCTTATTCTTTTCCTTTCAATTTACAGCTCTTGGGAAGTGTCAGAGCAACCAGACTAAGAAATGAAGCCTTCCTTTGTTCCCTGAACAGGTCTTGAGTATCTTGGTAGCTGCAAATAAATGTAATTGTTCCTCCTTCCATTTTCCCTGCCAGTAATTTTAGGAATAATTTCTTCGTCAGTAACTCAAATTCCTGCCGTCCCTATCTGTCAGAATATGGCTCATCTGAAATCATTCCAGGCCCCAAAAGTCTTGCGTTTCAGTGCAACACTAAGGTTGGGCTCACATCCAAGCCTGACTTTTCCACACAGCTCTTAGGGAGACCTGCACTGTCAGAACTACTTACTGCTTTTTGGACGAGATGCTAAACTGAGGTCAAATCTCTCAGCATCTTTCTGGGAGTTGAGAAGCATTTAAAATCCCATGGCAATATTCAGGAAGGGTTAATGTTAGCTGAGGTATCCTTGGCTTGCACTGTCCCTATCCACCCTCCTGTACACACATCTTTGGGGAAATAGGCTGTGTTCCAAGCTGTGCTTGAGCTATTTCTAGGTACATAATAGTTGCAACTTTAACTAGTTTGCTAATTCCACAGGGATGTCTTGAATACTTTGCAGCAACTATACAAATACACAGGCATATGAATGGGCTTTGAACTGGAGGGGGACAAATTGCTATCTTTCCAAGCTTCCTATTATAGAACCAGACTTTAGAGCCCAGGGGCCTTTCTAACATGGGTGGCCTAGAAAGGTAAAGAGATCTCTTAGCTGAGAAGCATTGCCCTATTAGCCAGTTTCCTTGCGAAGGCTGCCTTGAAAAATAGCAACTAAGGAAACTAGAGGAAATGAGGTTGCTAAAATTGGAAGCTTATCAATGACACTTTTTCCCCCAAAAGACGTTTATTATCCAAAGTCTGCATAAGGACTCTCAAACTTCAGAATCCAGAAGACCCACAGTCAGGGGGCTCCAGATCCATTCCTTGCTCTAGGAATCACAGAATCACAGACTGGTAGGGGTTGGCAGGGACCTCTGGAGATCATCTAGGCGAACCCCCTGCTAAAGCAGGTTCAACTACAGCAGGTCACACAGGACTGCATCCAGACAGGTTTTGAATATCTCCAGAGGAGGAGACTCCACAGCCTCCCTGGGCAGCCTCTTCCAGAGCTCTGCCACCCTCATAGTAAAGAAGTTTTTCTCCATGTTCAAGCAGAACTTCCTGTGCTCCAGTTCGTGCCCGTTGCCCCTTGTCCTGTCATTGGGCACCACTGAAATGAGTCTGGTCCCGTCTTCTTGACACCTGCCCTTTAGATATTTAGAATCAACTCCTTCGCGGCTAGGGACTGATCCAGGATGATTTTTATGACGCTAATACCATTCATGATCAATAATTCTGATATTAAGACCTCTATGATTTAACGGCTTAAAGATGGATGTACCTTCATTCATTGATGTTTGAAAACAGCATCTTTAAAATGAGTTCATGTTTACGAGGTATTTGCAAGCTCACACATACGGCTTCTCCTTCTTACAATTTTTTTCTCCTTTCTACTGCTACAGACTGCAAGCTGGTTAGTGCAGTACTATCCTGATGTTGCACTGTGACTGCACAGTTTCCAGCTAAGAGCTTACTCATGTGTGCCCTCCAAATGTCTTGTGAATGAATTCCTCATTTGTGATCCAGGGATGTTTCTAGACGGGCTAGTGACAAATAAGCAATTAATATTCCTGAAGTATCATTACAGTTGTCACAATCTTGGCTGAGCTGCTGGAAAACAGACCAGAACCACCATTGCTAAATGCATGGCTAGTTACAGCATAAATGACTGAGTCAAGAATCAGTGATCAGAGCTGGAACAGACTCCCACCCTCAGGAGGTCTAGAACTTGATCTAGGCAGGGATCAAGTTCTAACACACACTCATTAACAGATGACACTCCCCAAGTCCTCAAGCTCACCTGGCTATTGTTCTAGAAGGGAGACACCGTGACCACCAGGGCAGAATGGGTTATTTGTTCCTTGGACAACTTTTTCAAACTGTTGGCAAAAAAAGTGCAGGTCTACAACCCTCAAACCAACAGATTAGGTTCTTCTTCTGAATGAAAAATTATGAAGAATCTTATGTTAGTCTTCTTATTTACTAAGTTACAGTTAGTAGTAACAACTACTGTCAACCTGTGTTAGCACCCCCAATGCCAAACGTGCTGTACAACTGCACAGCAGGGCACCTCCCACACAGGAGGTGATTGCCTTCCTACGCTCTGACATCCAGGCTTGGTTTCTAAGCAATGCCTTCTTTCATTTCTAGCATCCCGGGAAGTATCTTTGCTTTCTTCAGCACTTGTCCTCCTGGTTACGTCACTGGCTTTCACTGCACTCTGCTGTAAATCAAATGAATGGATGCAGAAAGGCAGCATCTAGGCTCTAGCTAGCACAAGATTCCCATCCAGTTTTAGGCAGCCAAATCCATGGCAGCTCTGCTTTAAGACTGTTCATTCTCTGTCTGCTTCCAACACC